ATATTTAATGAAGTGTTTATTTTTGTCTAACTAAAATATTTAATTTTAATGTTTAGAGGTAGAAAACTTATTCTAGTAGCATGCTTTTTAAGAAGTCTTCTAGTCGCAAAAAAAATCTGTGTAAACTAGACAATTGACCATGTTTAACTTTATAAGAGAAGAATTCTATGACATGATTTCTATAGAAGTCTGTTTTCAAACCAAAGTTTACCTAGAATCTTGAAATAAAATGAAAGACATTTTCTGGAGAAGTTTTCTAATTACTTAATTTTAAATTAATTATTATTAATTTATCTTCATTGTAAAACTAACTTATGTAGACTTTTTGGTAGACTTCATCTACCTGTAAGAAATCTTATTTGCAAGTTTTTTTTAGAAAAATCAAATATCTGAAAACATACTTATAGGAGAAAAGTTTTATAGAAATAAACTCAATTTTATTTTGTTACAAAGAAAAGTTAGAAGATTTCTAGAGAAGTCTTCTAAAAAAATTACATGAAATAATAAATTGAAAATTAACAGATGCACTGACAAGAAAACTTCTCTAGAAGTAATGACATTTTTCCTTAATAATAAAAAAAATATGGTGAATAGAGCAAATGAAAAATTGATAAAAATTCCTTTTGTGTTCGACCACAAATTTTAAGTCATATTTGAAAGAAACCAGTTTTCAATTTCTACAGTTTACATACAATATATTTATAAAACATTTTTTTTATGTTATAAAAACAATATATATTTAAGATAATTTATATTTCTGTATTAGTTTTAAAAATATACTTTATCATTAACATTTTAAGATATTATGGGATTTTATAAGTAAAATACATTGTTATATTTAATTAAATTAAATAAACTGCAATATTTTAGTACTCGTAATCAGAATTATTATCTTCTAATATATTTCAAATTCGCAATTTTTTCAATAATTTTTTTAAATGTGTAAAATTTGAAATATTATCATTTTGACACCGATATATTTCTTTTTAGAAATCGTATATTTGGTCAAGAGAAATTTAAAATTACAAAACTTTTTGAGTTTAGAAACATATATGACTTTGAATTTTTTTTGTTACTTAATTAATGTATTATTTTATAAAAAAACGTTTTGGAAATTTGTTTAGGAATTTAATTTTACCAATACTACTTTTCAAACTTACCTTTAAATGATAACTGTTTTCATAACTATATTAAAAGTAAAGTTTAATTTAAAGCTGAAACTGACTTATTATTAATATCTTTATGAATTATTATGATTTATTTTGCAGTTTTGTATATTTGATTGATTAATGTAAATAATCAAAGAGAAATTATTTCAAATGATTTCAAAACAGAAAAAAACTTTAAAAAAAAATATTTTATGCTTAAAAAATAAATGAAGTAGTTACATTAGGTATAATTTATAACTTTTTAAAATCTAACATATAAAACACACAAACATACACCAAATCTAACATATAACCTCTTAAAGGAGTGGAAGATTAGAGACATGTAATGAAAAACCTGCGAAAAGAAGATAAATTAGTAAGAAAGACATGAAATAAAAAAATCAAAAAAATTAATATAAAGTTTAGTGTTTTCAAGTTCAAGAAAATTATAGAGTGGTTGAAAAGTTTTATAGTGAGAACATTTCTGCTACATCAATTTGAAAGGAAGAAAATGTAAATTTGACATATATATGTAAATTTTATTTATATATAGAAATCAAAATTTTAATTAGGCTAAATATTTTCGATTCAAAAAACTTTCAGGAAAATCTTATTTACCACAAATTTACTTTTCATCCCACGAAGTCTTCATTACATGGTAGAAGCCTTATGTATAATTCTTCTAACCCTTAAAACCAAATAAATAATTAAATAACTACAAACACTTCATTAAACATATGATCAACATGTACATTGTTTAATATATACAAAACTAAATACATATATGTCTAACTGATTTTTTGAAATTTTATAATCTTATCATAAAAATACAAATAATGCTACAACATATTACTAAACCCTAAACCAAATATACAAAATATGGTAACGCTCCGGCCGCCCACGATTAATGGGCCACCCATGCCCGCTCTCTCGGTCCATGGGTTCCATTCCGTTCCAACGGCCGGTCCGTTAATTTTCCAAGGCTCTAGAGTCATGTTTACTGACCTTGCAGTCACCATCCGATCTTTCCCTGTGCTTTGGCCTCACTTACACGGTATCGCGAATCACTTCCCGATAGGTCACCCATCCTTTGACTACTCCAGCTCAGACACGCTTAACTCTGGAGTTCTCTCTGGATGTGCTCCCGAAAAGGTAAGTGCACTATGGTAACATAGGTAGTCAAATCAATTCTCTTAAGCCTTTTCCAAATACCACAAACCAGGATATTAATTCACCCCCTCTCAAAAAACGCAACGTCCATGTTGCGCCCCCAAGATCGTTACCCCTGTTAGTGTGAGCCCTCACTGACTCCACACTCGTCAGGGTTCGGCTCTAATACCACTTGTAACGCTCCGACCGCCTACGGCTAATGGGCCACCCATGCCCGCTCTCTTGGCCCATGGGCCCCATCTCGTTCGAACAGCCGGTCTGTTAATTTTCCAAGGCTCTAGAGTCATGTTTACTGACCATCCACACTCATCGGGGTTCGGCTCTGATACCACTTGTAACGCTCCGACCGCCCACGGCTAATGGGTCCCCATGCCCGCTCTGTTGGCCCATGGGCCCCATCCCGTTCCAACAGCCGGTCCGTTAATTTTCCAAGGCTCTAGAGTCATGTTTACTGACCCTGCAGTCACCACCCGACCTTTCCCCGTGCTTTGGCCTCACTTACATGGTATCGCGAATCACTTCCCGATAGGCCACCCATCCTTTGACTACTCCAGCTCAAGCACGCTTAACTCTGGAGTTCTCTTTGGATGTGCTCCCGAAAAGGTAAATGCACTTTGGTGACATAGATAGTCAAATCAATTCTCGTAAGCCTTTTCCAAATACCACAAACCGGGATGTTACACATATATTCACTTATCTATATTAAAATAAATTCAGTTTTAGTAAATCTAAATTTACAACATTTAGAAATGTTTAGAATTACATGTTTTAATTTTCTCTCATAAAAAGTATTTTTAATAAAATTTATAAATTATTTTAAGATCTTTTACATGAAAAGATTTTTTGGGATTATATTCGTAAAAATACTTACATGTTTTTGTTTAGTCACAAGGGATTTGTTGTAATTTAATAAGCATTTTAAGTTAATTTTGTATTGGATTTAATTTGCAGAATACTTTTACATTTTAAATAAAGTTTTGAGGTCTAATATTAAATTCTTACTCGTGTATTACCGAATCCAATTGGTTACTCTAATTAAAATATTTACATTTTATTGAATAAAATTGATATATTTTTACCACCACCAAGAGTTACAGACACATTTTCTCAAAATGAATATGAGTCGACTAAAATGGGTAACATGCCTAACGTGGCATGGCATTATTCTTTTTCGATTCAAAAAACTTTCAGGAAAATCTTATTAACCACAAATTTACTTTTCATCCCACGAAATATTCATTACATGCTAGAAGCCTTATGTATAATTCTTCTAACCCTTAAAACCAAATAAATAATTAAATAACTACAAACACTTCATTAAACATATGATCAACATATACATTGTTTAATATATAGAAAACTAAATACATATGTCTAACTGATTTTTAATGAAATTTTATAATCTTATCATAAAAATACAAATAATGCTACAACATATTACTAAACCCCAAACCAAATACATTCATGACTTACAACATATATTCACTTATCTATGTTAAAAACAATTCAATTTTAGTAAATCTAAATTTACATCATTTAGAAATGTTTAGAATTACATGTTTTAATTTTCTCCCATAAAAAATATTTTTAATAAAATTTATAAATTTTTCTAAGATCTTTTACATGAAAAGATTTTCGGGATTATATTCGTAAAAATACTTACATGTTTTTGTTTAATCACAAGGGATTTGTTGTAATTTAACAAGCATTTTAAGTTAATTTTACATTGGATATAATTTGCAAAATATTTATACATTTAAAATTAAGTTTTAGGTCTAATTTTAAATTATTACTCGTGTATTACCGAATCCAATTGGTTACTCTAATTAAAATATTTACATTTTATTGAATAACATTGATATATTTTTACCACCACCAAGAGTTACAGACACATTTTCTCAAACTGAATATGAGTTGACTAAAATGGGTAACATGCCCAACGTGGCATGGCATTATTCTTTTCGATAATTTTCCTTCCAAGCCACTTGTTTAGATTCTGTAATGTATATTCATAAAAGAACCAAAAAACTTGCTTATAAAAGAAACGTCCATCCCTTAGCTTATTCACCACCATAGCCATTTTGTTCATTCTCATTAGATTAGAGGTCAGCTCTCTCTCTCTCTCTCTCTCTCTCTCTCTCTCTCTCTCTCTCTCTCTCTCTCTCTCTCTCTCTCTCTCTCTC